GCTGCCGACTTGGTGTGGGGGCCGCAGCCCCGCCGGGCCGGCGCTGCCTCCCGGGGCCGTGGGTCACCCTCCCCGGACCGCCCTCGGGTGGGACGCGTGAAGTGTTTGGCCTCTTTCTTTATCCTTATGCGATTTTTTTTTTTTTTTTGCACGTTTCAACTTTCTTAGTTGCGGCGAGATACGCATCTGTATTTGAATGTGAAACTCACTTAATAGGTTGTATTTTGGCACATCTCAGAGCTAGACAAGACTATTTAATTTGTGAAGTCTCGCTTCTGCAGCTACATGTAATTTTCTTCTTCTGCTAAAAGTCCTTTGGAAACGCTGCAAAAATGTGATGAATATGCAAAGCAGTCAGCTCTCAAATCCAAATCCGGTTTGTCTTCAGAGACTTTTCAAAACGCCCAAAGTGATCAAGGTATATCATGAAACAATCACTTTTGCCTAAAATACAGGAATGTGATGTTTCGCACTTTCTCCTGGTGTGTATTCCTAATTTAATTGGTGACAGCTCCAATATTATTCACCTGGAATACAAATCTCTAAAAATCAGTTAGGGTTGCTCGATTGCTTTTACTGCTAGTGCAGCCTTAAAAAGCAGGAAAACTGCTAGCGAAGTCCTTGCCCAGAGCTTACATCCCACAACTCCCGAGCCTTCCTTATCCCAAGACTTCACCCACATCCACCACCTGCCTACTGCAGCTGCGGATCTTCCCGCCACCTCCGGGAAACGGGCAGCTTTGAACTCGGACCAGGCAGAAGGGAAAGGTTTTTTTTCCTGCCGTTAAAGATGTTGAGCTGGGCTGCTGCCACCACCGCTTTTCTTGATAGAGGGAGCCGGTTGCAAGAGTAGCTTGTGAATCCTGCACTGGTTGTTTACAAATATTTAGTAGTGCTGTGTGGTGTGTCTGTGGTTCTTGTTTTCCTTTTTCCTAGGAGTTATGTTTGTGGTCTGAGTTAAGGTGACATCCAGCGTTTGGAGAGGAAGGCATGGCACGTGGGGTGATAGGCTGTGGATGTGAATGAGGTAATGTGGAAAAATCAGAATGCATGGTTGTGCGTTGCAAGGGCTGAGTGAAAAATCTAACTGGTTCTTCTGTGGCTGTAACAGTATGCAACCTTGCATGTATTTTAAACAGTTTTGTCTGTTATGGGGATTTTCCTAGCTTCTTTCTTTGTTCTATACGTGAAAAAGGTAGAAGACAGCTGCTCTTTCCTGTGTGTTCCCACACTCCTTACTGGTACAGACAACGAGGAGAGAAGGGGGAGAAGTGGCAGCTCAACTGCCGTCACAGCGTTCATTATTCCTGCAGACCTTCCCATGCCAGCTTTGGGTTCCCGCCTTTTGCTGTAACAGGGTTTGCAGTTGGCCATACCTTAGAAGATCTATTTGCTCGCTCCTAAGGCAGCAGATCATTCTGGTTAGCTTTAGGGTTTGCCAGAGGACACAACCAGGCTGTTACTCCTGAACCAGGTTTGTTTGGGACCACGGATTAGGAAGGCTGAGACTTATCCAGGCTGCTGCGGAAGAGGAGGAACACACGCAGTGCCTCAGGGTCACACTTGAGGTGCTCTGCCCCGTGTGAAGCACGCACAAGCCTCCTGGCCATGAGCTCGCCCCGTTTCGTCTCGTTGCATAACCTCTTCTCGTGCTCACCCTTTGCCCCAAAAGCACAGCCCTTGCCTCACTAAGAAATGAGAACAACAGTGGTAGAAAGCAGTACTTAGGTCTCTTAGATGCAGCTTAAAGGTCACCCGAAAGATGTGAGGCACTGAGACTTGAGTGGGTGTGCTAAGGCTCTGCTGTAGCCAGATAGGTAAGCAGAGCCAGGCAGCAACAGCAGTGCCGTGTGTCCTCTGGGTTAACGGTCTTCTGGTTCAGGCAGTGCTGCGCTGCTTTCTCAGCAAGCCTTGTGTGTTGCTTGTCCTCTTCTAAGTCAGCCTCATCTTACTCCTGCAGGTCAGCTAGCTTACCTGCTCTCCTGGCTTTGTAGGCTGTGAGCTGAGCGGAACCAGTGGAGTGGACTGGTAATGTCTGGAAAAGCAGCGTAGCTGGCGGCGTGGTGAGGCTGTCTGGGAAAGGGGAGGGAGCCTTCCCTTGTAAAAGTTTAGACATGCTTGGGATGTTGTTGAGGTGAATGCAGAAGGAACTCTGTTTAATGAGAGGAGAAAGAGGTCAAAAGGAGGAGCATTTGAAAATGCCTTCTCTGCAGAAATTGGTAGCAATCATAAATGGAAAATTTGTGTGGCCCTCTCAGGAGTTCCTGTACTAAGTTTGGAAAACAGAATTGGTTTATAAAGTGCAAGACAAAGGGACTGCAGTCTTGTTTTAAATGCAAATCCCAATGCAGTCTGAACTATGGACTCACTACCGATGCCTCTGTAGTACATATTAATCCAGTTTTATCTGTCATGAGGAGATTTGTTGATTAGAAGCCTCTAGGTAAAGACTGCTCCTGGACTGTGGCTGCTGTTCCAGCCTGTGGGCTGGAAAAATGAGCTCCATGCCTTGCCTGGAGCCCTTGCACTGCGTGTCATTTCACTGCCACTGTCCTCCCAGGATTCAATTTAGCTCTCTGCACAAAGCCCATTTATGTAGATTTATGTAGATTCTGTGCTAAGATGAATGACATTCAGAGCAAATGGGTATTCTTTTAACAGTTATATAAGTCAATTTGTGGTATTGATGGTAGAAAGTTAACATCATTTGAAATGGGAGGGTAGGAACAGTTTACTGAAATGCCACTAAACCGTAAGCAGTTAGTTTTGTTTGTCTTGTCAAAGTTTGTATGTAATGGGAGGATTTTTCTAAGAAATGATGTGAAGTAATGACAGTTTTTAAAATACAGAATTATATATACAATTTAAAGGATTACATTAAGTGATTTTCCTTGTTGCCACTCGCGTCTTTTAGTGGAGACAGTACTTAATTGTTTTTCTGCAATTAACTATTATTTTTTAAAGCTAAACTGTAGTTCTAAAGCTCTTAAATGTTTCCAGTTTCACCCTGAGTTCCAAAGTGTGCAGTTTATTAGCTCTTGGGCTCACCAGCAGCTCCTTGAGGTGGCTGCTCAGATCTAAACAGCTACTGCTTGTCTGTTCTGTTTTACAAACACCAGCATATAAAGAATGATCTGTGCAGCTGGTGGCTTTAGTTTTTTTATATTTTTTGTTTTTCCAGGGCTCGTATCTCTTCCTGAAGAGATTGTTTGTAGGTATCCTGTTGCTGCCACATACATTTTTGTAAAGTTTCTGTTGGCCTCCTAATTTTATTTTTCTCTAGTGTGGTTTATTCAAAATTTTGGTAGCAAAAGCCTGGTCTTTCAGATACCTCCTGAATAGAAGTTGACTTACACTTGTTACATCTGTATCTTGTTTATTTTGAGTAGCTGAAGAAGTGCATATTGTGTAAAAAAAAAAAAAAAAAAAAAAAAAAAAAAAATTACCAGTCTCCTCCCAGTGCCCCTAAGTATATATGGATTCTTGCATTGCAGTTTTGGGGGGAGATGGGTTGCACATCGTTCAGATAATTTCCCTCCAGTGTGTGCAGATCGTTCTGTAAGTGCTGATGTTTAGGTTACTAATGTGTGCTTTTTAAAGTGCAGTGCAATAGTCAAGCCAGAGTAATGTTAGCAGACCAGTTCCACGTTTTAGTTGTGTTACTTTCTCAATCGACTATAAATTACATGCTTTAGACCTTATTGATTGGTGGTTTAGCTTAATACACTAATACTGGAAATTATCGGCTTGTAGTTGTGAAAGCCATCGTAGAGTGAAGAGGGGTGTGTGTGAGATCTTAGAATTCTCTGAAGAGTTTATTATTTGCAGGATCACTCTGGATAATGGGTTTTATGGGGTTGAAACTTGTGCGAATGTTTTTTCTGCAGCCGTAAGGGTAGAACGCTGCTGCAATTTGTCTGTTGGGAGCCCTTAGAGTGCAATTGCTGTATTGCTGAATGGTGTTTCATGCCATAAGTATCAATGATATGCAGGCCTGTTGGCAAATGGAATGGGTAGGTGAATTCAAAATAACGTTTTTAAGCTGAATGTGTTGGAATCCATCAGTAATTTTTGCTTTGTCTGTGGATGTTGCTGCCATAATTAAGATCAGCAGATGCATTAGATCCTTTTTATGTGAAATGGAGAAAACTGAAATACTTGGTTCTGAAACACACTTTTACTGGTCCAGCTTCATTAATCCTCTAGGGTTCTGTGAAGCACTTTTATTCTTTGCTTTCCTTTTACAGTCCTCCACACTGCTATGGGGGGAAATGATTTGAGAATTAAGAAGAATTGAAACTAATGAGCTTTTTTTCTTCAGGGGCTTGGGTATTCAGTAATTCTTCAGAGTGTTTTGTGATCATTTTGATCTGAAGATATAAAAGAGAGTCAAGTAGAAGCAGTGAGCAATATTGAATGACATTCTTGGGAACAAACATGAAGTGAGAATGCTGAAAACAAGCTGGCTTCATGTTTGAATCATCTTTTTTGTAGGTGCATCGCAACTATCTGCTGATTTGTTTTTTCACAAATGTTTCCATTAACTAGTCAAAAAAATAGAGCTTTCACCCCTTTTTTCATTTCGATACATGTTCTTATAATGAGAGAAAGAAATCCTGTCCTCTGAGTTGGTGGCCTTACAGAAGGATGGGTGGCGGGGGGAATGCATCTAGATGTTGGTGTTCTGGTGCTCATCTTCTCTCTGTTTTCATTGTTCGCAGGGTCTGTCATCCGTGATGGCGTCAGCTCT